TAATATTGTCGGTGTTCAAAAGCTTGGCCCTGTAAGAGGGGGGGGGACCCCAACCCCGGAACCCCCCGGGAAAGATGGGGTGGGGGGGGAATTCTGGGAGTTGAAGTCCACTCATCTTAAAGTGGCCAAGTTTGGACAACACTGATCTATTCATTCCCTCTCACCCCATATATATATGCATTATATATCCTTACCAGGGGTAAGAAGGTGGGGGAACTGTGGTGGATGGTGCTGTTGGGCAGACTGCGGTTGCGGAGGTTTTTAATGTCCTCCTGAGCTTCACGCAACATTGCTTCACATTCTGTGTATTTCTCCTGCAAGTCCTGGAGCTGAAACGGCACCGCAGAATAGAAGAAAAAAGTCAGGACCATCTTGTCCAGTGGGGCCGAGTCAAGCGCGTAAGAGGAGACACTAACTAAAAACAAGGGTCTCCGCCACGGAGCTGTTTTAAATGGTTTTGCAAGCTACAATCATGCAGCAAATGAAAGCTGCTTGTCCACTGAGCTGATGTAAGGCAGGTGATTAAACTCGAGTCATCCTTTCCAGCTGTCACCTGAGTAACCAATGATTTCCTGACATTTTTGCTATGGGATGGGTCTCTCCTGGAGACAACTTGGTTCAATGATTTTTTTCTGCTTTTCAGAGGAACCTGAAAACCAGGGTACTGCATAAACGAGATATCTAACCAAGACATCTTGGTATATTTTGTAAACAATTACTATCAGAATAGTTTGTTTTGTGTATGTACACTTCTGTGGCACTTGGATGTACATTTGTGTAGGCTGACTTTCTTCCTTCAGAAGTTGCCAGTCAATTTTTACCCCAATTTAAATAGGATAGATGTAACTTCTGGTGTGGCAGAAGGGGAAAAATATATGCAGGGTTTGCACATGTTAATGAATTTAACGTCATTTTAATTATATGAAATTAAATCATACTTCGGTTTGGCCCCAACTGCCTGCTTTGTCCTGGCACTGCCTATTTCTAAAAGTGTGGCCCCCAAACATCACCCAATGGCCAACTCTACTCTCTGACCGCCCCCCATCAAATGCTGCACTCTTTGTACAGAAAACCCTGAGAGATTCCCGTAAAGCCACGTGGGTTAATCGATGGGAAGCACAGAGCTTCCTGCCACCCCTGTTGCCCTGGGTAAACGCAGCTGCCGCCTCTCCCCCCTTGGCTGCTTAAGGGACATACCTCTCTGCGTAGCTGCCGTTGGGTCTCTCTGGCCGCCGTGAGCTGCTGCTGCAATTGCTCCATTTCAGAACCATACTGGGGGAGAAAGGAAGGAGACAAAAACCATCACCAAGATTATTCCCAGCACCCTTGGCCTGGTTTATGCTGCTAGGGGTATGCGTTTTTTCAGTTGAATCATTTGATGTAATAAATTGCTCAAATCCCCCCCCCAAAAAAATCCATGCACACAAAAGTATTTACAGAATAATAACTTCAAAATGCATGATTTGCTCTCAAAGCATTGATGAATTCCAAAAAATAGGCAAGGTGGCCAGGCAGGACACATGCCTCCCTAAGAACAATGGGTCTCAAGTCTTATTAACAATCGTATTAGCCCAAAGCTGCTAAGAGATTAGTCTAGTTGAAAATTGTACATCAGATATTATAAAAGCAGCTTAAACTGGAAGGTATCTTTTAGTTGTCTAGGGATAAGTGGGATGGGGCCTCCAGATGTTTTTGACTACACATTCCACAGTCCCTCGCCATTAGCTGGCTGGGCTGACGGCAACTGAACCCCAAATCTGGCATCAGCTTCCTAGCTCTGCTACAGAAATTCATTGGGGTAAACCAAAAGTAATGCTATTTTACTAGCCCAGTGCTAACTTAATACGTGTTGAATAGTTTTACTGAGGAAGAATAAAAGCTAACACGAGGAATACAAAAGGAAATGTGTGAGTCTGAACATAAGCTTATTTTGCACATGTACACACAGGGGACTTTGCCTTCTTGCTATAGATTTTTGAAGTGGGGGGAAAAAAGGCAAAAAGAGCCTCCTTCTTCCTTTCTAAGGAATTTACAGACTTCTCAAGACATTTCGGACTTGCTTCCTTGTCTACCCTGAGCCTGGGTGTTTCCTCTGTGCTGATGGTGCTAGATCATTATCCTGAATCTAGGCTTCAGGACTGCAAAGGGTAGCATATACTGCAAGTGTTCCACTACAACCCATAAAACTTGACCCATCTCTTCCTGAATGATTATTATTATTAATTAAGTCTATATGCCGCCTGACTAACTTGAACCGCTACTGACACAGGAAAACTGAAGTGGGCTAATGACTCTGGCAGATACTCTGGATCCTGTTTGCTAGGGAGTGCCATCTGGCAGGACTTGGACGGAGAGCCTCTTCTGTCACAGCACCCATCCCTTAGCATGTCATCCCCCCAGAGATCAGGTTGGCCCTGGCCCTGGCCCTACTGGCTTTCATAACACCTTAAAGACCTGGCTGTGTCCCCGGGCTTGGGGATCTGGGTGTCCAGCACAGCTTGTGCAGTGACTATGTTGAACGTTGCTGTTTTTATACCTCTGCTGCTCAATATGTTATATAGTTTTTATACCGTTTGTTATGTTTATTATATGGTTTGATATGTTTTTATATTGCATTTTCTTTGCAGTTTTATTTCTAATTGAGATAAGCTGCCCAGAGTCTTGTATTTGGGATGGGGGGCTATATAAATCGAATCAATCAGTCAATCAATCAAATAAAGAAGAAAGCCGGCCAAAATTGTTCAGTTCCTCTGCTTACCACACGGCATTTCTGCTGCAGATCTACAATCTGTGCTAGAAGTTGGCTTATTTCCTCCTGTTGCCGGATTGTATCCTCTGTCTTGCGAGCCAGCTCCTCAGAAACCAGGGCAACTTCCCGGCTGGCATCAGCTGAGAGAGGAGATAGAATATTATTACTTGAAATACAGAGCCGCATGGAGCCGCCTGCAACACCAAGAGCAGCTCCTGAAGTATTCAGCAATGTTCCGCATTGCATAGCGGTGGATCAAATTTATTTCCGTCGGCCCTGTGCTGTTTGTTCTAGCCCCACCACACTTTCAAGCATCCAGACTGTCAGGAGAATACACAGATTGAGCTCACTGTCACTTGCCTGATGCTTAACTCCATGCTATACATGCGTAGGATTATAAGGTATCATTACGCTGGGAAAAAAATGCTTCAAATTCACAGGAGGCAATTGGCATTCCTGCTGAAATTGAAACCTTTTTATTATGCATGTAAAGTTGGCTCCAATGTAGCCACAGTTAAATTCAGACAATGGGATTAAACTAATAATTATATAATACAGGTTCATTCTTATTTTCTACCTTTGTCACTGTAGGCTCCTACTACAGTAGACATTATATCTATGTCTACTGGTAAAAGTAAAGATGCCCTTAAGCTGAAATTAATTCTGGGTGACTACATGGATACAACAATGCATTTTCTTGGCCACAGAAGTGGATTTTCACTGCCTTGTTCCAAGATGCCTTTTAGCTTCTTAGTTTAGGTGACAGCTCTGGTATTTCCTGGAATTATCCCATGTGAATCCTAATTAGGGCCTAAGCCCAACCCTGCTTAGTTCCTGAGTCCAGCAAGATCAGCTAGGTACTACCACCTGGTGAGGCATATATGTTTGCACTGGCATGCATAAACAAATAAATAAATCAGTAGAGAGATATAGTAATAGATAATTTTACTGTTATTGACATCAGACATGGAAGAAACTGTTCATGGATTGGCCTATGTCAACTTTCCCCAAGCCAATTCCCTCCAAACATATTGGATTAATATAATTTATTTATTTAGTAAATTTGTCCCCACCCATCTCCCCACAATGGGGGACTCTGGGCGGCTTACATCAAATTAAAATCATAAACACATGATTAAAAGTTATAAAAAACCCACCACACTTACAGAGATAAAAAAGATTAAAAGATCCAAGAGGCCAATAGAGGCCACACCAGGCCGCTAAGGGGCTAGCCAACCCCGTTTCTGACATCCTCCCTCCCCGCCCCAGACCAGATGGCAGAGCCAAGTCTTCAAATCCCTTGGCAGGGCAGCCACAGGCAAACAGGATAGGAAAGCATAGTAGAATTAATCAATTGGGAGCATTTGAAAGTGAAATGAAATCACTCATTTCAAAGTACTGCTGAGTCTCAGGAGATAGGACCAGATGGCAGAGCCAAGTCTTCAAATCCCTTGGCAGGGCAGCCACAGGCAAACAGGATAGGAAAGCATAGTAGAATTAATCAATTGGGAGCATTTGAAAGTGAAATGAAATCAC